AATTATGAAGTTTCTTATCAAATTATGAATGCCTAGGAAATGATTTCACTATACATTCAACAATATTTTTCAACCGTATAACTATTTCTATCAATCTTTACAAAATTTATAGGCAAGAACGCTAAAGTATTTCCATTTCCCTCTCTCGAGCGCCAAATAAAATCTATTTTTATATATTAATTCCAATATCTCTATTCCGAATTAAAAATATAAAAATTATCAAGCACGTGGTTCTTAATTAAAATAAGCCTCAAAGATTCGCACTTTCTCTCGAAACCTACGAAATTTAGGTTATGTTATCTTAGATCACGCCTAAATTTGCTTCTCTTAAGCGCCAAAATTTAGAACATCAAATCAGTCAATTAGTGGTCAGTTAATTGAAAGCATTGCGCACAAACAACATAAATAAATAAAAAGGAAAGATCAATTGAAATAATTATAACGGAATCCAAACATGTCTCAAGTAGGCTACATCATCCCTAGAATAATTGTTTAGTTCATAATTGAGAAAATTGACATGAATAGATAAATAAGAAGGAACATAGAGAAGAAAAGGAATAGAAAAACTCGTTTTTGCCGCTCGATTTCTTCTTCCATTGTTGCCAAATTCTCTCAATTAACTTCCTTTTCTTTAATTGTATTGACCAGTCGTGGACTTGTCTCCAGATTTTTGCAATTGGCTGGCTAAACTCCTCTTTCCAATCACGTGTTATTGCCTGCTGCTTCAGATTTCCTTGCTCGTTTCCTCCCCTTTAATTAGAAATCTCACAAATTCCTTTTTCTAACCGGAAAACCTATATGATATGTATATCTTTTGTAGAAATCTCACAATTCTTTTTCATCTTTGAACATCATACCCATCTCCGACACCTCAAGCACCATCAGACCATCTTCTTCTAATGTTTCCTTCTCCGTTGATATCATATTATCTGCAACATTCTCATCGACATCTTTCTCCGCCATAAAATTCATCGCGTATGTCTTCCACAAAACCTTTTGTTGCAAAACAATTGAATGCAATGTTCAGCAAACAAATTACAATTTAATAAGTATTTCAAAATGTAAAATGAGTTCAGACAAATCACAAATTCCAGAATAACAAATAAGCCAATGAAAACCTATCATCGATCTGTATCTCTAAATGTTCTCTAGTGATTCTAGCCTTGGCAAGATCAAACTAATATGGATGCTGAAAATTTCTTCTTGTTATTATCTTTGTGTTGTATCAGATTTCAATGGTTCTAGGTAGCCTTCATTCTAATCTTCAAGCTAAATGATATGCATTTTCAATGAACAGGTTTAATCTCAATTTTTAGTATCTTCTGTCACATTTTCGTCACTTCCATGCGCACGCACACTCACATAGAAACACGGATGATATTGGAGTCAATTGGATGCATTGTTATGGGGGAGCAATCGGGATTTCATTGATATGACAAAGCTAAAGTCTCTGCGAGCTTGTCTTTCTTCAAGATTATAGGCCTTTTATCCTTTCTTCCACTTGGGAAGCATATGTTCTATTTTCTGATGTGTGTTCTATTAACCATTAGCTACCTTCAGAGTATTATGCTTTGAATGAAGAAAGGGGAGAAATACATAAGGGAAATAAGGAAAAGAGAAATGAGAAGAAAGGGGAGAAAATCAAGAGAAATTATTACCATCTTCATCGGAGTTGGGCATCACCATCTTCACAGTCGGGGGAAATGTACAAGACTTTTAGATTGAAGGTGGTGAAATCTTAGAAGCAGCTTCGTATTCGACGGGAGAACTCTCCAAAATGGAGGGGGGGAAATGAGTGGGGACAGTGTGGTCTCTTTCTTTTTTTAGGTTTTATGTCGACCGAAGTAGTGAAAAAAGAAGTCACTGTAGCTGCCCGAATTTTAAATTTCTGTTCCGATTCTGTGAGCCTCTGTCTGTACAAGAGGCATAAGTGAAGAAAGAATGTGTTGTATTTATAGGGAAATTATTATTATGTAATTTTTTTTTTTTATTTTTTTTTTGGCTTTTTTAGAATATGGCGGCGAAAAGTGGTGTCAAAATTGTTACCAAGCCCAGGCTCCACTCGGGCTTGAGCGGGCCCATAAAATAAATAGTCCGAACCGTTTTCAAAAGATGTTAACCAAACTGACCCATGACCTATTCAAATTTTGGCGGTCTAGGCCAAGTCGGTCCGGTTCTACCTCCCATTTGTCAATTATTATTGTTTTTTATTTGGAGGAAAAAGTTGAATTATTATTAAAATAGAGATAAGTTTGAATATGCAATGTGCAGCAAATACGAGAGCATCTTCAATGTTAATGTAAACAATATTAAAAAAAGTTATCACATAAGTAAAAAAATATCTACAAAAATTTCTATCCAATACAACATGCCTATGGCTCTAGCTCACGTGACAAGAGAAAATAGACATCGTGAAGAGATCCACCAAAACGTAGAAGCTCTTCTAGATGGAGTGAATCGGCAAAAAATAATCTCTCTCCCTCGTCTCTCTAGTTGTTGTTGTTGTTTTTTTTTTATTGTCTCCTTTTTATTATCGTCTTTCTATCTTACTAAGTCCTTGTTTGAGTCTCACTTTATTTAAAAAAAAAAAAAAAAAAAACACTCACACACACATTTTTTACTCCATATTGTCCAATAAAATTACCTAAATTGAATTTTTTTTAACCATATATTTTCTAAAATTCACTATTCAAAAACACTTTTTTTTTTTTCAAATGGGGCTCAAACAAAGGCTAAATATATATTAAGCCCTTGTTTGATACCCATTTTTTTCAAAATGCATTTTTCTCTCTTTTCTTTTCAACCACACATTCCTTATTAAAATAATATTACATATAAATCAAAAAAATTTCCTTATTTTTCAACCACATATTTCCCATCAAATTACTATTCTAAAATATATTTTTACATAAAAATGTATATCAAATACCCCTAAAGATGAAATTTTGAATTATAAATTGAACTCATTGACTATGAAATTTAAGTTAAATTGTTTATTGATTAGACATTAATATTATGTAAATTAAAAATCTTTTTATTTACATGTCACAAACGGACAATTTTATGGAGATGAGAAAAGGGACTTGTGTGGCGGAATGTCGGCTAAAACAAGAGAGGTTGAGAAATGACCTTCATGATTTGGGAAGAGAGACTTTTGGGAAGATATGCATTTGTGGGTAAAACGCACAAATATCATTAATTTAATAATTCAAAATCTATTCAATCATTCTCTCTCGTGTTGGACAAAATTTTTGAATTGAATTGGACCTAATATAGGTTGGTAGAAGTAGACACCTTCAAGGACAAGCAAGACAGATCACGACACACTGATGCAAGGCCATCGACCCTCATAGGGCGCTCTACCACGACCCCCAAAGGGCGTTCTACCATTACATTCAGGGAGCGCTCTACCACAACCCCCAAAGGACGCTCTATCGCTATCCCAAGAAATCATTCTACCACTAAGCGAAATCCTTAACGGGAATGATATCCCTTGTCCAAACACTTAGCCATAAAACCTTTAATGAATCGACAAGGTTACATGGCCGCTGATACATGTACAATCTTCAGACGGAAAATTAAAGACTCATCACTCAGAACGTGGGTGTAGTAGGAATGCCATCGTGGGACACGTAGCACTACAACCGCCCAGCGGTTACCTAGTGCCTAATATCTATAAATACCCCCGGATGAGACACATGTAAGGGATGATTTTTTTTTTTGAACTCCCATTCTCGTTTTTAGCCATCTGATTTTCAAATATATTCTTTCTAAGTCTGATAACTAATTCTCACGCCGGAGGTAAAACGGGGGAGAAAGTCCCGCCTTCATTTTTCAGGTCTTGCACACTTGACGGAGTGGTAGAAACGCCAAACATTACCGGGTAAACAGAAGGGTGTTGAATCATTGCCTTTCAGGACTCAATTCAAACTGAATAGAGAATCGACAGGTTTGGTTCAACTATTGGTTTTAGACCAAGAATCAAAAAATTGAAAAATAAGCGAATCTCCCTAATTTTTAAATTTATTAACCAAATTATTTTATTTTTTTCTAAATAAATTTGCTAACTAATTAATTTAGCCCAAATTAAAAACATGCTTTTCTTATTTTTAATTTTTAGTCCAAGCTTAAATTAATCAAATGACCTAAGTTTTATACAAATCTATCATTCTACTATAGTGCAGTTTCTACAGTTCTACAGAAAATCAAATTGAAAGTTCAACTAATTCTCTCTTTATTATTATGAGTTCGCTATTCTCATCTTCCTATAATTTTAACAATCAAATCTATGAAAAACTTAATAAAAAAGGTATAAAAGATACACAAAAATGGACAACGTTATTTTGTAAGAGTTAAGATTGAACATGTCATTAATTAAATTAATACACCGTTGTTGTAAAATATTAAAAAATTAATTACTATATGAAACCGAGGAACCGAACCGAACACGAATGGTTTCATAATAAATTTGAACGCGACGGTTCCATTTGCTAAATACTTAAGAAATCATATTCGATTCGATTCTCTTTAGAATTAGATCGAATCAGACCATGTCAAGCCCTAATCTCTCTCTCTCTACACACTATTTGAATTAATTATTGGGCTAACAAAGTTAAATATTTTTCTAACTTTACTGAGATTCCATGGTCCGGTTCACCGGTCTAGGTTGTCCCACCCGACACGGCCCTCCCAATCCATTTTGACACTAACCACAAATCTTGCTTGGACTTATTTCTAAGCTGAGACAAATATGTTATAGAGACAATAAAACATCATGAACAGCCAAATTTGAGAATGCAACTACTATATCTTTATAAAGGATGAGTTTGCGCTCTACAATTTTAAGAAACATAAAGAATTTAAAACAATTTGCAAAAGTACACGAATGTTGTTCTTAAAACTGATCATCTCTGATAATTTAAATATTTTGTGCTTACAACAAATGTACAACTCCTTAGATGAATGGTGCATTGAAATGTGCAGATCTGATCTCATGCCCATAATGCGCAGGATAAAAAATTTTCATTGCTTGCGTGGCAAAAGAATTTTACTTATTGTTCTCTGAAATAATCATATATTTAGAAAACCATACTTACGATTCTTTCTCTCACATCATCAGAGCTGCCTACAGAGGGCCAGGAGATGAATTCTATTGAAATATGAACCAAGCAATCAGCAACTCATTGTAGTAACCCCCACCCCCACAAACCCCAAGATTCTCTTATTTAAAAAATAATAATAATAGAGAGAGTAAATCCCGTTAATCGAAACCCGAATTTGTAGAAATTACTAGCACAAGAAATCTGCGAGAGCATCCTCAACTATTTCACTTAAAACTAGCTTCTCTATGTCAGCCACAACTTCATCGACTCCTTCTGAAGTATACCCCGTTCGCCAACCCACATCCCATGCTCCTATAAGATCTCTCTTGCACCATAGATCTCTGTCAAGCATCGAGTAAATAACATCGGCAATATTGATCTCACTAGAAAGCTTGCTGTAACTCCTCAAATCCTCGATCCCATCACAAATTTCTCGCACCAATCGATCAAGAGATGAGAAACATCTTGACCTAGTTTGAGATAGTGGATAAGTTGTTATCATCCATTGTAGTCTTTTACGCTCCAACATCTCATTTGCACAGTCGAGTAAAAGGTCAGTATCGAGCAGTTCATAACCTTGTAATAATGTTGTTGGACAGGATGTTGGTCCACATGTCCGAGTATCAAAGAGCTCCTCCACATGGCACAGGAATGATGCATTACTCAGAAGTAAACTTCTTGTATAGTTTTCTGTTTTGCAGCTTTCATTCTCAGGTACATTATTATTTGGCACACAATTTCCTTCATCAATGGATCTGACATCCTCAATGATTGGCATAGAAACCTCGAGAGGACTTGAAGTGTTTGAGCACTTATCTGCAATCAAAAAGTAACTTATAAACATTTTCATTAAGATGGATTGAACACACTATTGAGGAAGAAAACGAAGTCTATCTGAAAACCATACAGGAGATAAATGCTTATATAACTGTATAATGATGGAGAATAGCATCTGCCGGTTGATTTTTGTATACGCAAACTAACATAATTTTAAATATAATGTGGATTTTGTTTCTCAACCACAACAAAGTCACCATTTATATGGCTCTGGAAGAGAAATTGCAGGCACATAAACAATACAAATTTTCTTTCACATCTTCCATATCGTAATCGTGAATTGTGGTGATCATTTAGGTTTTTATTCTCCATACTATTAGAAAGTAAAAGTTTTTGCCTTAATAAGCGGAAGACTTGTTTTTTGTCACCTTATTTTGCAAAATTTTAAACGTCATGGCTTGTTGCGCACGTACACATTGAACTTGATACTCATAAAAATGTGAATATTTTAAGTTGTAATAATTTTATGCAAGCAGTTCCCTTAATATTATTTCTACTAAAACTTGCTTAAAAGAAGTGAATTGATAAATTAAGGTTTCTTACCAAACATAGAATTACCAGAAGGATTTGCCATTTCCTCAGGAATTTGTTCTGATGGCATTACTGTCTTATCTATTTCAGTTTTACCAGCAAAATCAACTGGCATCATGGTTTCAACCTGCATTGGAATATTAAATTAGTATAATCAAGAAAAATGACTAATTCAGAACTGAACAATCCACAAACAACTACATAGCCTGAAGACCTAGGTAACATATTCTGGTAGAATAATAAAAAGGGACTCTCGAATGAAGTAATTAGCATCTTAAAAATGAAAAAAATTGGGATGGGAGACTTACAATAGCTAGTGAGGGCTTGCTATCTGGCTTATCGTTTTTGAAGTTCTTCTTCTGACTATTGGAGTTCATTGGTGCAGTTCGTCTTGTGAATTTATCTGAGATAGTAGCATTTTCACGTGGACCCCGATTCTTCGAGACAGTAGATATCTTGTCAGGTTTTCCGAGCTTCAAAGTAGTTGTGTTGCCCAGAACACGAGTTTTGGAAGACCCTTGAGATTTCAAAGTTTTTATTTCTGCTGGTTGCTGGGTATCAGGAGACACTTTCGGTGCCTTGTCAATCTTTGTAAAAGCTGATTCTTTGTTCTGCAACTTAGAGCTGACCGGTTTCTGAATCTTTAACTTGGTACAGGACAGGATTTCTTGAACATCTTTACTTCTAACATCTAGTTTTGCTGATACGTCTCCACAATTTTTTGTTTCTTCGTCCTTAAGGTGTTTTTGCCTTGGAGTTTTTCCAGCTGGCATTTTCCGGTGTAGCTCAGTGGGTTTCAGAGGTCCTTTCAGATGTTCAGCTGCATTAAGTGGAAACTCTTCTTTCCATTTCCTAGGCATTTGATTACTCTTGTAAGCTTTTTCTTCATGGTCGTAGTAATTTTTGTGAAGCTCGGGAATGTGTAGAGGCCTTATAAGCACAATGGGTGAGCCCGTGTCATGACAACCTTTTCTTGAGTAAGAGACATCAGAACGTTTTTCCCCATCGATGGACTTTTTTTGCAGAAGCCCTTTAAACTGCATGGACTCTATCATTTCTTCCAATGTTCTTCGGTCTTGAACTACTTTCTGGGATGCAAACTGAGGCTTCCTCACCCTTGGCAAATCAATATCAGATAAATATCTTCTCTGATCAAAGAATTCATTTTTTCCCACATGCTTTTGGGAGACTGAGGGCAAAGGTTCTGTGGGAATTTCCTCCAGTCCCATAAGCTTGGCAATTAGATTTGATTGCTTCGGCTTCTCTTGTTGAACCTTTAAAGGAGAACTGTCAGACGAGGCAAAATCATGGGAGAAAACCTGCGAGGATTGGCTTGAACTGGTGGAGGGGAAATCCATATATAAGTCTGATTTTCTTCCTTCAAAATGATCTCTCTGTCGAGTGGAGGAACTTTTTGGCAACAGATTTTGCCGGGTAAAACTTTCTCTTATGACTTCCCTGAGCTCCTCATAACAATCCCTGGTCGACCCATCAGCAGAAATTCTCGGCTTCTGGAAGTCCATTGCTTGATTGCAATCTCCAATTCGAATGGAATTCGTAAATTCTGTACCTGTGGCTACTTCTTTCTCTTCCACAACCTTTTCCTTCCGCTTTTTATTCAACTTAGCCATGCAACGTGATGCTTCTTGTAACTTCCCGAGCATTGCTATAGACTCCTGCAGATCAAGTGCGCCTTTTAACAAGTCTTGCGCGATTTTCTTTGATTGCTTATCAAAGCTTACACCGTTCGACCACAAGTCAACCACCTCATTCAATTTATGTGCTCCTCTAGATACCTCCATGATCTGAAAGGAAGACAGGTTTTGTAACTCCTCTGTGGACCCTTTTGAGACTTTGTCCTTCCTTTTTTCATGGTCCGATGAAGACAAATTCAAATTCTTTCGACTCCCTTCATTTTTAATTCTACTCTCCACTTTCTGAGAATCAGTCTTGGATTTTATAGTTGTCTTACATTCAACAACACCTTTGGGATCATCACAAGTGACAAATGATCTATACATAACCGACCTTAGCCTGTCTTGAGGCATATTCTATGATGATCAAGACTTCACAAATGAACTAGAAACACAAAAAACCAGCTCTTGCTTAGCTGTGATTCACTGGAATTGGAAAAAATATAAGCAAATCACAAATTAGTTGCCGGCTTTCGAAAAGGACAGAGTTTTAATAATCATTACATAATTCTCTAGTTTGACATTTTCAAACTATCTCAGTTAAGAATGGACTTAATTCTGATTAACCCACCTAATAATAGACTTACGGATCTACCACAACATCACAAATTTAAGCTTTATTTACAATAAATATGGGTCGACTATATGAATTCCTTTTTTCGCAGTGCAAACTTATTTAGAAGCAGATTTCAAAATCTAAATTCAAAATACTTGCACGGATTTTTACCTGCGAAAGCTTCTCATATCAACCAAATTCACTCTCTTTTAAACCCCTGCAGGAAACCAAAACATGAATCTAAGACACCCAATAAAGGGGAAAAAAAAACATGAAAACACAGAGCCCATTTGAGAATTTTGAAATCTTGAAGAAACCCATATGAGAAAAATTAATTTCACAGACAAAACATGTCGGTTAACAGTTACCTGCATTGAGTGCTTGGCTTTGATGAGAAATCTGAGATCCACGCAAGACTAACAATATTACTAATGGCCGCTGTAAATATCTTTATCACAGATTCATACAAAATCCATATCCAATTTCAAAAAAAAGTTCAATTTTGTTGTGTTTCTGTAATTGTCTTATAGTTAAATACATTCATTGAATTAACTAATAGAAATGGGTGAGTCAATGATTGCAGTTTGTGGGGTGAAACAATTATGACTATCGTGTTTTCCTTGGAAGATTTACGAGGGGAGGTGGGATGATGATTATAAAAGTATGTGGGAGTTATGAGAAGAAACTACCGTGAAGATGTCCATGAATTAATTAATGCTACTTGTGCGGTTTGCTGGCTTGGAATATAATAGTTATTTTAAATTTTTCTTTGTATTTGTCTTTTGAGATGGAGTATTTTGACCTTTAATCTTTTGTTATTGCATGAGTAGTCTTAAATTCGGACAATTTATGGCTATAATAATACGTGCGATCGATGGGTTGTCCTTTGGAAAATTCTATTTGTACATAATTATTGCACATAATGGTATCCATAATGTGATGTAGAAATCATCCGATTGTTGATGTGCAAGTATGAAATTTGAATTAATTGTTGAATCCAGTATCATATATAATTATGAACACCATTATGTAAATAATTATGTACATGTAGCACTTCTCATTGTTCTTTTTCCTTCTAAATATATACGGGCACGAACCATATAAGAAGCGACAAGTTGTGAACCATCCTTGATGGGTGGTAATGGTGGTCGGAGATGGAGAGGGGTAGTGGTGGGATAATTAGAATTTCGTTGCATAGATGGAGCATTTTTTATTTTATTTTTTCTATTTTATCTTTTACTTAAACCTTAAAAATATTTTTTCGTTGCATATATCTTTTACTCTTTTTGACTTCATATGGTGACTCAATTGTCATTATAATGAATTTTTGAATAGTGATATGAAATTAAAATAGTAGGAATTGATTTTCCCTTTATATAGGTTAAGGACCAAAATACTATAAGAATTAAAAGTTAAGGATCGAGGCTGCAATTTTTCCAAGAACAATGGCAGCGTAACGATCTAAAGAGGTATAAATGAAGTGAAAATTTTAAGTAAACATATCTAGGAAAATTTAATCAAATAAGAGAGCTCAAGTTTCTCTTAAATAACTTAAACGGAGATCAAATGACTTCGATAATATGAACATGTATTAAGTTTTGAATATATGTGGTATTACTTTTAAGGTTTGATATAGTCATTTGAACGAAACTAGTAATAAGTATGTGCATTGCACGTCTTACATACGAAATGAATGATATGTTAATATTTTTAAAATAAGGTAATTGATAATATAAAATAAAAAATTAAAATTGTTAAAAATATATATAAATTGAGATTAATTTTTGTTTACTTATTTATTTATGCTAGACATTGATTGGAACCCTATTTTCAACCATTACATCAGCATTGACCAGCTTTGTAATACAAATGGACGCAAAGAAGAATTGATTTAAGAGATGTACATTTGACTAAGTTTAAAATGTTTACTTTTAAGTAAACTAAATGTACATAAATGATTTTCAAAATAATTGTAACATAAACCTTTTTACCTTAACATCTAAAAATAAAAAATGAAAGAAAAAAGAAGCAAACTATATTGTCTAAACACTTTTAGTAACAGAAAATTATGTGATAATCATGCTCATCATATTAATCCATAGCATATTTATTTTAGATTAAAAATCAAAATTACATTCAAAATAAATGTAGAAGTGAAAAGTCCTAAAACAAATGTTTCTTTTCTTTTGAATGAGATTAATACAAATGGTGGAATAAAAATTCTCCCTTTAAATGTATGAAGATATTTTTTTTTTTCCTTTTCTTTATATATTTATATCTAATAAGTATCTGAATTACTATTAATTTTTATGCTTATACAAAAATGAACATGTGATAATAATAAGATATTCAATACTAAATTATTTTTCAGAACACATAATATTAATTTTTATTAATACATAAAGTTTTGGTTTTAGTGAATATGTGTAATTGAGGTGTGAAGCTTATATTTAGTGGGGTGGATACAAATATGGAAAGTGTAAGTAACTCTTAATTATTATGAGTAATTAGTAATGTTTTTAATTTAATGGATAATTTCTTCCATCTTTGATTCTTATGAGTAATTAGTAATGTTTTTAATTTAATGGATAATTTATTCCATCTTTGATTCTTTCCCAACTAGATGTTGATCACATTTAAACAATATTTGCTTTTCAATTTATTGTTCTTTGTATTTAAATAGTTATATTATTTGTTATATTAATTAAACGTGTAATTTATAATCATTGAATGAAAATGTTGACAATATTGTATAAGGACAAAATGATAAATTGAAAGTTTCTCATCTATCTCCATATTTTATTTTTATTTATTGTAATTACAATATAATTACATAAGTAGATGAATGTTGATTTTAAGTGAATCTCACTTATGTAAATAATAAATAATAAATAAATTATATATATAATTAATATAATATATTATTAATGCCACCTTTAATATGTATGTATGTATATATAAACACACACACACACACACATACACACACATATGAAATAAAATTATAATATATTAAAGGTGGCATTAATAATATATTATATTAATTATAATATAACTTCGTGTATTTGCTTTTTAAGTATGGAGTTCATTTTTCGTATTGGGGCATTCATAATTTTATAATAATTAAGTTTAATCACTTAAAATCAAAGCTCGTCTACATATATAATTATATTAAAAATATAATAAATATTATTTTATATTTTAACTAATCTACCATTAACTTAATGCAATTTTAATATATTATATTATATAATTTTAATAAAATTACATCTATATATGCGAGCTTCGATTTTAAGTAGTAAACTTAATTTAAATAATGTAATTTAAGTAATTAAACTTAATTTGATTAATGTAAAATTATGAGAAATTCCTTAATGATGAAGTTTCAACTAAAAAGAGTTTGAAATTTATAAATTTTATTATCATAGCTACATCTCCATCTTTTCTAGATCAAAAATTTATAATTATAACTAAAAAGAGTTTTATAATCATAACTGAAAAGAGTATGTAATTTTATAATCATAACCTTGGGCTTCTCTCCAAAAGGTCTTATAGTAAAGCTCAATCTTTACATTGATTAAGGATGTGCTTTTGCATGTTCCCGAAATTTTTTTCAATCTCCCTCTATATGTAAATCAGACATAATTCCCCTTTTGATCTTTCAAACTCATTTTTAGCATATTCTTTCAATAAAATATTTTTATACGTGAATCCGTAACAGTTCCATATTTTTAACTACAAATTATCAAAAAGAAAAATATTTTTCACAAAATCTATTCTGAAAAATCTCTATCAAATAGAGGCTTGTCACAGCCGGGTGTCCAAAAGACACCCTTATGTAATGAGTTAGGAGAACACCATTTGTACAGAAATTTTTCTAAAGAATTTAGTTAGATTACTCTTATGTGTGGGATCCACTGTGAATAAAAAATTGTCAAAAAATATCCCCACCCACCCCCACATCCCATGTGTGTGTTCTGGTAGGCTTCTGTATGAAGTCTGCCTGTACACACAGCAGGGTCCAATGAGCTACGTACCTAAAGAATAATTCTCCAAACACATTCTAATGACAAAATTGTATATTTCCAAAAGATCGAGGTTAAATTTGTCAAATTATTGAATAATATAAGCCAACTACCCAAATGACATGACTTTAATGCAGTCACAGTAATCTTGTTCATTTTGGGGTCTTTCATAAATGTGGTTGTACTGTTTCATCCTTTCCTTTTTGCACAAAATTAAATATCTTGATATCTGAGCCATGGTTCCAAGTGCCAGTTTGAATTATGACTAGGAATTTAAATATCAAATCTGTAGGCCAAACAGCTCCTTGTACAATTTATATGCAAATGAGTAAGTATTAAGCTCTTTGTACAGAGCTGAGCTTCACAGGGGTCTTACCGACCTTTTATTGTAGGGGTCGATACCACATAAAAATAAAATAAAATACGCCGGGCCCTACAAGTGTGAGGGTTTGACAGGGATATGTAAGGGTAGCAGCTCTCAGTAAATAATAATATACAAATTAAGAAACAATTATTTATTGATGTCTTCACCTTTTAAATGGAATTTTTAGTTGCGTGTTCCGGAGAAATTAATAGGACAATATTAGAAAAAGAAAAAAAATTAAATTTTACCAAATATTGTATTTTTTTCGATTAGGCAGGATAATAAATATACATATCGGGCGAAAAAATGTTGAAGGCTACCCAATTTTTTGAGAAATTCCTTTTTAGTCTCTAATATTCTTTTTCTTTTCTTAACCATGTACGCGCTCTTTAAAATAATTGATTATGTGGCAAATATTGTATTTTTTCGATTAGGCAGGATAATAAATGTACATATTGGGTGAAAAATGTTGAAGGCTACCCAATTTTATGAGAAATTCCTTTTTAGTCTCTATTTGAAAAAAAAAAAAAAAACATTTACGCATTTTGTAAAATAAGGGCTGAGCTACATGTACAGTCCAGCTCGGACTGTACATGTACAGCCCCCTCACATGTTGGGGGGCCCACTCTCAATAAAAAAATTGTCAACCCCCCACATGTGAGGGGGGCTGTCATCCGAGCTGTGAGCTTGGATGTACGAGTATCAATTCCCATAAAATAATTGATTATGTGGCTAATAGATTGTTTATTGGGACATTAATAGTTGTTAAAAACAGAAAATTTTCTTTTATTCCATGTTTGGAAAAATTATAAGTTTCTCATAATTTATAGCCTAAATCAAATATTAATTTTCACACATTCACAATTACTATTTACTTATTAACTCATTACTCTTTTACTTATAATCTCATTATAACTTCTTTCAATATAATTGGTATCTATTGTTCTACTAATTTCCTTCAAAAGACTTGCATAGAGAAGTCTAATTTTCCGAGAGCCACTACCATATGTTCACATTGCGTCAGAGGGTTCTACAAGTGCTTAATTTGTATTATCCAGAGCTACTAGAAGCAAAGATATAATCTATTTTAAGAAAGTTAAATATTAAAATTAAGTTTCAAAAATTTTCAATTTTAGCTTTTTAAAATAGAAAACGGACCACTCTGTATTTGTAGTTTATAACAATTGGATTTATAAGTTATAAATTTTTATACTCCACTTCTTGAATGACACAAATATTTGATTTTATTGGTCATTGATTTCTAAAAATGTATACATATATAGCCCATTTTTAAAAGGGATCAAAATCCAAATTTTAATTTAACTTAAAGTTA